CCAAGTGGGATTCATCCCAGGGATACGAGGCTGGTACAATATTAGCAAATCAATAAATGTGATACACCACAAAAACAAAATGAAGAATAAAAACCACATGACCATATCAACAGATGCTGAAAAAGCATTCGACAAAATCCAGCATCCATTTCTGATAAAAACGCTCAGCAATGTGGGAATAGAGGGATCATATCGCGACATAATAAAGACCATATATGAAAGACCTACAGCTAACATCATACTCAATGGGCAGAAACTAAAAACATTTCCCTTAAGAACAGGAACAAGACAGGGATGTCCACTTTCACCACTCTTATTTAACATAGCACTGAAAGTCTTAGCTTCAGCAATCAGACATGAAGAAAAAATCAAAGGGATCCAAATTGGAAAGGAGGAAGTAAAACTGTCATTATTTGCAGATGACATGATATTAAACATAGAAAACCCTAAAGACTCCATCAAAAATCTACTAGACTTAATAAATGAATTTGGCAAAGCAGCAGGATACAAAATTAACGTCAAGAAATCGACGGCATTCTTTTTTATTTATTTATTTATTTATTTTATTTATTTTTTATCCTCACCCAAGGACATTTATCCATTTTTTGTTCAGATAGAGTTGGGGGGGGGGGGGAGAGAGAGAGAAACATCGATGTGAAAGGGACACATCAAGTGGCTGCCACCCACACGACCAACCAGGCCAGGGACAAACTGCAACCAAGGTATGTGCCCTTAGCGGGAACCGAACCTAGGATTCTCTGGACCGCAGGCTGACGCTCCAACCACTGAGCCAAACCGGCCAGGGCGCAACAGCATTCTTATACACCAATGATGAACTCACAGAAAGAGAAACTGAAAAAACAATCCCCTTTACCATCGCAACAAAAAAATTAATATACCTAGGAATAAACTTAACCAAAGGAGTAAAGGACCTATTCGCAGAAAACTACAGGACATTAAAAAAAGAAATACAGAATATATAAAAAAGTAGAAGCACATACCTTGTTCATAGATTGGAAGAATTAACATCATTAAAATGTCCATATTACCCAAAGCAATCTATAGATTCAATGCATTCCCCATCAAAATACCAATGACATATTTCACAGAACTAGAACAAATACTCCAAAAGTTCATATGCAACCAAAAAAGACCCTGATTAGCCACAGCAATCTTGAAAAAGAAGGACAAAGTAGGTGGGATCACAATACCAGATATCAGGTTATACTACAAAGCCACTGTAATCAAAACAGCCTGGTACTGGTACAAGAACAGGCATATAGACCAGTGGAACAGAACAGCGAACCCAGAAATGGACCCAAGACATTATGCTCAATTAATATTTGACAAAGGAGGCAAGAGCATACAATGGAGTAAAGACAGCCTCTTTAATAAATGGTGTTGAGCCCTGGCCAGTTTGGCTCAGCAGTTAGAGCGTCCGCCTGCAGTCCGGAGAGACCCGGGTTCAGTTTCCGCTGAGGGCACGTACTTCGGTTGCAGTTTGTCCCCGGCCCTGGTTGGTCGTGCGGGTGGAAGCCACTCGATGTGTCCCTTCACGTCGATGTTTCTCTCTCTCTCTCCTTCCTCTCTCTCCCTCCCACTCTAGCTGTACAAAAAATGGAAAAATATCCTCGGGTGAGGATTAAAAAAAAAAAAATGGTGTTGACAATGGAGTACTATGCAGCTGTAAGAAAGAAAGATCTCTTATCCTTTGAGACGACATCAAAGGACCTGGAGAGTATTATCCTAAGCGAAACAAGCCAAGCAGAGAAAGACAAATATCACATGATCTCACTTATTTGTGGAATATAATGAACATAACAGTCTGAAGAACGGGGTAGTCCCAGAGACGTGGGTACAGAGAAGTGGGGTACAGACTGACATTCCCCAGAAGAGGGGGTGGTGAGGGAGAGATAAACCACAGAACTTATATGCATGTATGTATGAACAATGGACATGAACAACAAAGGTGGGGACAGGGTGGGGAGGGGGGAATCAGTGGGGGGATAAGGAGAAACATTTGTAACAAAAATAAATTAATTAATTTTAAAAAATAAATGGTGTTGGGAAAATTGGACAGCTACATGCAAACAAATGAAACTAGACCATCAACTTACACCATACACAAAAATAAACTCAAAATGGATAAAAGACTTAAATATGACCCATGAATCCATAAAAATCCTAGCAGAAAATGTAGGCAACAAAATTCTGGACATCATACAGAGCAGAATTTTCACTGATACATCACCCAAGGCAACAGAAACAAAGAAAAAAATGCACACCTGGGACTACATCAAACTGAAAAGCTTCTGCACAGCAAAAGAAACAACCGTCAAAATGGAAAGGCAACCCACTGTATGGGAGAACATCATTGCCAATTATACATCAGATAAGGGGTTAATTTCCAAAATATATAGAGTACTCATACAACTCAACAAAAGGAAGACAAAGAACCCAATTAAAAAATGGGCAGAGGAGCTGAATAGACACCTCTCCAAACAGGACATACAAATGGCCAAGAGACATATGAAGAAATCCTCAACATCACTAACCATCAGAGAGATGCAAATTAAAACAACTATGAGGTATCACCTTACACCTGTCAGAATGGCCGCCATCAACAAATCATCAAACAAGTGTGGCGACGGTATAGAGAAAAGGGGACTCTAGTACACTGTTGGTGGGAATGCAGACTGGTGCAGCCACTACGGAAAACAATATGGTGTTACCTCAAAAAATTAAAAATTGAACTTCCATTTGACTCAGTGATCCCACTTCTAGGAATATACCCTAAGAAGCCTGAAACACTCATCAGAAAGAATATATGTACCCCCATGTTCATAGCAGCACTATTTACAATAGCTAAGATCTGGAAACAACCCAAGTGTCCATCAGTAGATGAATGGATAAAAAAGCAGTGGTACATATACACAGTGGATTACTATGCAGCTGTAAGAAAGAAAGATCTCTTATCCTTTGAGACGACATGGAGGGACCTGGAAAATATTATCCTAAGCAAAACAAGATAAGCAGAAACAGACAAATACCACATGATCTCACTTATATATGGAATATAATGAACATAACAGTCTGAGGAATCGGGTAGACCCAGAGATGTGGAAGTAGAGTACAGAATGACAACCTTCAGAAGACAGGGTTGTAGGGGGAGGAAAAGAGATAAACCACAGAACTTATATGCATGTACGCATAACGGATGGACATGGACATCAAAGCCGGGATGGAGTGGGGGGGGATGGAGAGGAAGGTGTCAATGGGGTAAAATAGGAGAAACATCTGTAACAAAAATAAAATTAAATAAATAAAAATAAAATAAAAAGAGAAATGATAACCTTTGGCATAAGATGGTAATAAAAGTACTGATTGAAAATGAAAAAAATAAATAAATAGATAAAAATAAAAAAATTTCTTTAGCACAGAGCAGGTGGCATCATCAACACGTGGGGCCGAGTGGACTGAGGAGCCTTCCTGGAAGTGGGGCATGGACCCTGACCTTGCAGGACAGAGAAATCCCAGAGCCAGGTTGAGAGGGAATCAGCACAGCCCCTGAATGTGAGATTGGTCTTGCTCTCGCACCTGTCACTGGTGCTAATTCCTCAGAAGTAATGTTATACTGTCATTAGCCAGAGTGTGTTTTTCAGGATAGTCAATGCATACTCAAAAAATAAAATAAAATAAAATTGAAAACCTGGAGATGAAATTGTTTTCTTCCTTGCAGAACTTCTCAGAATTCAACATACATTTGTAATTCTCCCTCAAATGATTAAATCATAAATTCCCTTTCCCAAAAGAATCTCAAAGAATTAATATTTTGGCAAGTGTCTCTTTCAGCCTTTCTGATATACATCCAACCCATGGTGAGCAACGAAGTGGAAAGTACCAAAGAAAAACAGTGGTCAATTGTCCTTTCAGAGAAAGAGGGCAGGGCGGAGCATTGACGTGACCAGTTACTAGCATTAGAGTATGGCTGACTTAAAGAAAGCAATCCAGTCCTGGCTGGTTTGGCTCAGCAGTTGGAGCATCGGCCTGCGGGTCAGAGAGTCCTGCGTTCAGTTCCCGCTAGGGGCACATACCAAAAAAAAAAAGCAATCAAGATTCTATGGGCTAAAAGTTTTATCTCACACCTTTTCTTGTAAAATAGGTTCTAAAATCACTTTCATTTTACAGATTAAAAAGCTGGGGCACAGAAAGGCTAAGTATTTTGGTCAAGGTCACACAACTAGTAAGTGACAGAACCAGGCTCACATCCAATCCGGAGTCCTCAAAAATCATAGCCTGAAACACTTACATAGCACCCATGACATGACAACATTGTGCTAAAAAACAATACAGCTTAGAGCAGCGATTTTCAACCTTTTTCATCTCATGGCACACAGAAACTAATTACTAAAATTCTGTGGCCCACCAAAAAATGTATTACATTTTTTGCCCATCTGACCAAAAAAAAATAGGTATGATTTTGATTTATTCACACAGGAAAGCTACTGTTGTGTTGGCTATTGTTATTTTTTATTTGACAGTCTAAAGGAAAAGAGGTCAGTGGCCCTGACTAAATAGTCAGGTACTGTGTGTTTTAAAAATCCTTGTGGCACACTGGTGGAAAATCACAGCCTTAGAGCAATAATCAGTTCCAGGAGGCAGCAGGACTGTTCTTCCTTGTCGAGAAGAACCAGCTTGGGGCTGGAGGCAAACGCTCAGAAGCAGACAGTTCTGCCAAAACTAGGAGGAATCTGAAACTGGGCTCAAGGTAGGGAAAGCTGACCACAGGGAACAACAGAAGCGCTTGAGGTCAAGTACAGCAGGTTAGAGACTGGCGAGGTCTGCGAAGGATGGAGACTACCCACGCAGAGAAGCCACCGGCCATTACTCTGGCTGCCGGCAGCAGCTGGAACACACGATCGTTTCCTGTGTCCCAGCCACAGCAGAGTGCGGTTCTTTGAAACAGTTGGCACTACAACTACTTGTTGCTATGCACTTACCGCAATAGGTAAACGAAATGCTGACATCGGAGGAGTTGCAGACCAAGTGCTGCTCCCTGGGTTCAGTAAATGTGGAAGAAAACAAGGTGGAAAATAACATAAGTGGGAACATGATTTAGTAGCTCCGAAACTTCACAAATGCAGGGAGAAGTAGTAACTCATCCCCAGGCTCTTCCCTTTCAGTAAGTAGAAAAGATTCAACTTAGTCATCAGTCACGTGATTTCTAAGTTCCAATCCAACTGTTTCCTCTTATTTCTGTGTGTGTGTGTGTGTGTGTGTGTGTGTAAAATATTTGAGCACTTCCTGCAAGGGGAGAAAAGAAAAGGATTTAGAATATATTCTTTTTCAACACTTGATGCAAATGAGAGCACAGAGATTTAAAAACAAACCAATGTATTTCCCAGTCAACAGTAACAAAGCCAGCCTGTAGGTCTCCTCTAGGATCCCAAGAGATGACACCCCTTTTCCACCCGCATTGCTATTCTCCCACACAGGCTCTTTAGACAATTTCTCATGGCTCAGAACGCTAGGCATATAGATCTGAATAATCACATGCAAACTATATTTCTGCTCAGCAAGAGCTGAGCCATGGGGCAGAGCTGGGCTGCAGGAGACCCCTGTGCAGACAGGACACTAGCTGTAGTTCTGCGCTGTGGTCTGGGGCCCTGCCAGGCTTAAGAAAGCTCTTCCTTAAGAGAACAGCCCCTCTAGGAAGTATTTCATGTGTGGCATGTACTGTATTTCATTTCCAAATTCTTATTCCATTCCTGAAAAACAATTGACCCTTTAGACTCTTCGCTACTTGAAATCATTTATGGATATAGTTTGAGATTACAATGGCATGGAGGTGGGGGCCTAAAAATCTACAAATTTAGAGGAAAATAAGTACATGTTGGTAAAAGGTTTCACTAAAGAGCGGTGCAATTTTCCCATTTTAAAAAAGGCCAAAAAATCCACAGGAGGATAAGAATGGGGAGTTGTTCAATGGGTATTAAGTTTCAGGTTTGCAAGATAAAAACGCCCTAGAGATCTGCTGCACAGCAATATAAATATAGGTAATAAACACTAAACTGAACTGTACGAAACTGCACACTTAAAATTGGTGAAGATGGTAAATTTTTGTTATACTTTTTTTTTAACCATGATTTAAAAATGTGTTTGGCTCTAGCCAGTGTGTCTCAGTTGATAGAGCATTGTCCCATGCACCAAAAGGTCTCTGGTTCAATTCTGGGTCAGGGCACATGCCTCGGTTGCAGGCTCTGACCCCCAGTAGGAAGTGTGTAGGAGGCAGCCAATCAATGTTTCGCTTTCACATAGATGTTTCTCTTTCTCTCCCTCTCCCTTCCCCTCTCTAAAATTAATAAAAAAACTTTATTTTGTTGAAAAAGGGTTGGAGGTGGAGAGGAAAAGCCCCATGAATGCCCCTAGTGGTCTTGAAATACCATTTCCCACTAAAAGGAACAAAGACTGGAGAAATTGCTGATTCCAGGTCTGGGGCAGAAAACATAAAAGATGAGCCTAAAATTCCTTATCACCTTAGATAACCAACTTGAAGACAGTCCCACTGACCAAAGATGGGCTTCCTATTGCCTCTGTAACAAATACCACAAACTTAGTGGCTTAAAACAATACACATGCATTCTCTTACAGTTCTGGAGGTCAGAAGTCTGAGTCAGCTTCCCTGAGCTCAAGTCAGGGTGTCTGGAGAGCTGGTTCCTTCTGGAGACAAGGGGAGGAATCCGTTCTCCTGCCCTTTTCAGCTTTGAGAGCTACAATCCTTGAACTCTTCCATCCTCAAAGCTCAGCTCTCCCATTTCTACTTCCATCATCATATCGCCTTCTCCTCTGATCTCTGTGATCCTCTTAGAAGATTTCCTATGATTACACTGGAACCATTTGGATAATGCAGGATAATCTTCCCAATTCAAGATCCAGCTATAAAATCCCCTTTTCCATGTAACATCTTGGGGGACCATTATTCAGCCTACCTGTAGGCTACACAGACATGAAGATAGTAACTGCAGCCTGGTGTGGCTCAGTGAATTGAGCACCGTCCCATAGACTGAGGTCCCAGTTCAATTTCCAGTCAGGGCCATGCCCAGGTTTCAGGCTCCATCCCCAGTGTGGGGCATGCAGAAGGCAGCTGATCAATATTCCTCTCTCATCGCTGTTTCTATCCCTCTCTCTAAAAAAATCAATAAAAACATATTTTTAAAAAATGATAGTAACTGCAATGCATTGAAATACATCAGATATATTTAGATCAATGAGCTCAAATAATTTCTTAAAGTCTAATTAATCATCAGATGATACAAAGAAAGCAACTCTACTTTGAAAACTGGTAAGTAAAAGGAAAGAATAAAGCACTTATCCTGACTTTTCTGCAGGAAATGAACTACTGGTAACCAGGTCATAGTGGCAAGTTTTCCTTGCCTTCTCATCCTCTTTTCTCTACTTTTAGAACTATTTCAGCTGTTTATCACAAAGAAATAATAAATAGAATATAAATAACCATTTTGCAACACCTAATGAATTAGTGAACTTAAGCATCAAACATCACAGACAGAAAGGCATTGTGCACCGCTTTTTTTTTTTTTTTTAATCCTCACCCAAGGATATTTTTTCCATTTATCTTTAGATAGAGTGTGGGGGTGGGAGAAAAGAGAGACAGAGAAACATTGATGTGAGAGAGACACATCGATTGGTTGCCTCCCATATGAGCCTGACCAGGGCCAGCAATGAACCGCAACTGAGGTACATGCCCTTGGCCAGAATTGAACCCACAACACTTTGGTCCACGAGCCGACACTCTAACTACTGAGCCAAACAGGCCAGGGCTATTGTGCACCTCTTGATGGATGACCACTGTGGTAGCCTGCCTCCAAGATGACTCTCAATGACCCTTACATAAGCAAATCTTGTGTAGTCCTCCCCAACAATAAGGCTGACCATGTGACTAACAAAATATTGCACAATGACAATGTGCGACTTCCAAGGTACATTATAAAATCTTGTGGCTTCCACTTCGCTCTCCTGGACCAACTGCTTTGTGGGAAGCAAACAGTCCTAAACAGAGTTCCATGAGGTGAGAAACTGAGGCCCCCTGCCAAAAAGCCAGCGCCGATGTATCAGCCACATGAGTGGGCCATCTTGGAAGTGCGTCCTGCGCCCCAGTCAGCCTTCAGATGACAGCAGCACCTGCTATCTTGATTAAAACCTCAAGAGCGAACCATTTAGCTGTCACTCCTGAATACCTGACCAGCAGACGTTGTGCAATATTATATGTTTCTTATTTTAAGCCTCTAAGTTTAAGGGGCAATTTTTTATGTAACAATATAACCTATGAATCAGTCTTGTCCAAAATAATCAAAACTCAATCTGATAAAGCCTCAAATCCAACTACCAATTTATAGGAATACAGAAGTCAGAGAAATATGTTAAATTACACCTTGGCAAAACAATCAGAAAATCTAGACCATGAAAACATGTAAAGAACAAACAATTCCGTTTCAGTCAACAGATAATTTGCAAAGAGGAAAATAAAAGTGAAAAAAAATGGAAGGGTCCACAATTTGAAGTCTTAAAAAACATGTCACAAATTGATGACTAAAGTGTGAACTTTACTTAGATTTTCATCCAAACAAAAAGGACTGGAGGGGAGGGTGGATTATAAAACAGTTGGATATTTGAACAGACTATTTTATAACATTGTGCAAAGTGCTTTAGGTATTATAATGGTCTAGTTGTTATATTTTTAAAGTCCTTATCTTATAGAGTTACAAAATTAAATATTTAAGGTTATGATGTCTGAGATGCTTCCCAATAAAAGTAGAGGGCAAGTAGTTGGTGTCTAGATGAAATAATATTGTCCACAAGTTGGTCATATTGGCTTCTTGTCCTCTTATACTTCTGAATGTTTGACATTACCAATGAAAAGCAACAACAAAAGTAGTGATCTGAAAAAATCAGAATACAATTTTAACAATTGTTTCCAAGCTAAGAATATTATTCATGGCCATTTTGTTACCTTTGTTCCCCAAAGCTGCAGTCTTTCAGTATAATGAACTCTACATTAAGGAAAATATTACATGTTATTGTCCAAGGGTATATTACCTAAGGTAATCCAGATGTCAGCTGGGATCACCCTGCCTTCTGAGACTCAAATAAACTGACTCAGTGCCCTTCATATACACAGACGGGGACTCATCACCTTTCCAATGTTTTCAAGATCACTCTTCCAGAGTTAAGGGGAGTGAAGTGGCATGGAGAGATGTGATACCTTTCTCCTCCCTACCTTAGCCCAAGTTGTTTCTACTGACAGACCTCAGGTGAAGAATCATGTCATCTTCTGCATGCTGATTCTTTTGAGAAGTCATCTTTCTCACTCAGTCTTTTAAGTTTTTCTTTTCCCTAACCTACCAAGCTGTCTTTGAAGAATTATTCCGATACCAACAAAAATAGGTTTTTCACTCCATTACAAAAGTGACAAAATGTTTACATGAATAGAGGACATTTGAAGAAAGGTATAATTGCCCTGGTCACCATGGCTCAGTGGTTAGAGTGTCAGCCCTAGGACCAAAAGGTCGAGGGTTTGATTCCTGGTCAAGGGCACATACCTGGGTTGCAGATTCGATCCAGGCCCTAGTCAGTGTGCATGCACAAGGCAACCAATTAATGTGTCTCTCACCTTGATGATCTCTCTCTCTCTCTCTCTCTCTCTCTCTCTCCCCCCCCTCCCCCCTCCCTCCCTTCCACTCTCTTAAAAATATATAGAAAAAATATCCTCAGGTGAGAATTAACAAACAACAAAAAAAGATACCATGTACTCAAAAAACAAATTATGATGAACGTGACCCTTAGAAAACTTTAAAATGTTAACAATGCTGTTTGTTTTATGAGAACTAGGAATTTTTTCTTGCTTCTACTTCCCAATATTTTATGAGCAATTTGATATGATTTTTTAAAAGAAAAATATAAATCACATTAGCTTCTGACAGCTTCAGACTTCAGTGATTGTCCCTATGAACTAGTGATGGCTCTGCTGCTTCCCCACCAACCTTCCTCATACAGAGGCAAGCCACGAAAATTAGCTTTACCACCTCGGCAGGCGATAAGACATTAAGCAGCTCCATACAGTCTGAGTGTTTGGTTCTTTCTTTTAATGTTTTTATTGATTTTTTAGAGAGGAAGGGAGAGATAGAAACATCAACTGACTGCCTCCTGCACATCCCCCACTGGGGATCAAGCCCACAACCTGGGCATGTGTTCTGACCAGGAATCGAACCAGGACCTCTCAGTCCATGGGACAATGCTCAATCCACTGAGCCACACCAGCCAGGCTGAGTGTTTGGTTCTTAACTGTGACTCTAGCAATGAACACAGACCTGGCATACTCTAGGCGCTTAATAAGTATCTACAGATCTAAAGAGCATGGTTTGAAGTCTTTGCTCTTGGCTGAAAATCCTTCATGGAAACCAAGTTTTATAAATAGAGGTAAAAATCTTAAAACACCAATACTTAGTATCGAGATTGCTATTTTATAAAACGTACTGTCCACCTACTTAGTATATGTGCTTTTCCTACTTATAGGGTGCACCAAGGAAGGAGTGCACACGAGGGACAAATGGAACCACAGAACACAACACTGCTTAGGTCCCCCTTTCCCCCACAGCTGACCACATGGAGAACCTTATTATGGGTAGCCCTGCCAGAGATTGCAGGCAACAAGCTCGCACTAAACCAAAAGAAAGCAGATTACCACTGCTTTCCAGAGCTTAAAAATAGTTTTTAATGTGAGAAATGACAGTATCAATGCTCTTAGAAAAATCTAAACACAAGGAAAAATAACTTCCCTCATTTGTTTGACATCTTACCCCCAACAAAGGAAAAATAACTCTCCCTTTTGTGTCTGACATCTGATCCCCAGCTGAGAGGCAACCATACTTATTCCATTACTCATGCATATGCCAGCATGTACATGTATTTTCACACTCTTTAAAAACACAAATGGTGGAATATTAAGTTTTGTTTTGCAAACATAGCTTGTTATTATAAAGGAACATAATTCTCTGAAAAGTAATCAAGTTGTTTGCTACAGTTTCAAATTATTTTTATCAGTCACTAACAAAAAACAAAAGGCAATTTTATTATTTTACATGGGAAAAATAAATCACATTGAAGCACAAACATAAAAACGACAGACTTATTTCTCATCTTCAAGCTGTTTCTTTTCACTGGCTTCCTCCATATCAAAAGTGAATGGTTTGTCATAACCCATTAGATGGTCATAGTCTCTGGGGTCTGGAAAGAGACCTGGATTAACTAACAGTGATTTTGTTTTAGCATAAAATGTGGTAAACACGTGTGTGCTGTTTGGAATCTTTACGTCATTCTGGTGAAACACGGTACTCATTTCTGAAAGCAAAACACTGTAAGTAATGGCTTTGTAAGTGTCTGTCGTGGCCTCATGGTACAACCGAATGACATAACCTTTTGTAATAAAGTGAAGCAGGACTGGAGTGATCACTGTAAAACTTCCTATGATGCCATAAAATAAGATTTGCAAAGGCAGACTTCCAAATATAACATTATTTTGTGCAAAAATGTATGGTAGAAATGCAAGGCTGATCACACTTGTAGAATAAGAGAAACATTTCACACCTAAATAGGAAAAAAAAAAAGGGAGAGGATTAATACTTTTAAATTTTATAAAAGAATCAACCTATCCAATTACTTTCCACCTTTCTTCTTACTATGTCTTCATTAAAACTACAAGATCAAAATACATGTGTTATAACATTCCAGGTTCTGTCTTAAGCACTTTACATATTTTATTCATGAAAACTATAGATAGTCCTATAACATATGCATAATTATTATCATGAAGTATTTTTTAAGAGATGAGGAAAATGAGGAACTTGCCTGATCAAGGTCACATAGCTACCAAGTGGCAGAGCTAGGATTCAAATCTAGGCCATGTGACTCAAGTCCAGGCCATTGGCCATTCCAATGTACTGCCTCTCCAAATGGGAAATCTGCTTTAGGGTTAACTGGCCTCTACCTCAGTTCCCCCAAAAAGATTTACTATTACTCAAAGATCCTTATGAATACTATAAAAATAAATTCAGTCAGCACATTATCAAATAAAATTATTAACAAGCACTTGCACATATCTAATATGAAATCTTCAAATGCACCCGCCTGGTATGGCTCAGTGGACTGAGCTTCGTCCCATGGACTGAGAGGTTCCGGTTCAATCCCCATCAGGGCACATGTCCGGGTTGCGGGTTCAATCTCCAGTAGGGGGCATGCAGGAGGCAGCCAATCGATGTTTTCTCTCTCACATTAATGTTTCTCTCTCTCTCTCTCCTTTCACCCATCTCTAAAAAATCAATAAAAACATTTTTTTTTTAAATCTTCAAACGTGGAGCTAACTTTATCAAACTAAGTGCCCAGGTTTAAAACAACAAATTACCAAAAGTAAAAAATGAAAAAGAACACCAGTGGATAAGAAATACATGGGAAATGTATTCAACTTATATTAGAAAGATTTAATATCAATGACTTCTGAACTGTATATTTAAAAATGGCTGGTGTGGCTCAGTTGGTTGGGCATTGTCTCATACCCCAAAAGGTTGCTGGTTCGATTACTGGTCAGGGCACACACAAGAAATAATCAATAAATGTATAAATAAGTGGAACAACAAATGGATGTTTCTCTCTCCCTCCCTTCCTCTCACTCTAAAATCAATCAATCAATAATTACTTTAAAAAACACAAATGCAGATGTGGGTGCTGAAATCTTATGGTGGACTTGGTTACAAAAATAATCCTCAGCCCTGGCCGGTTTGGCTCAGCGGTTAGAGGGACGGCCTGCGGTCCAGAGAGACCCGGGTTCAGTTCCCGCTAAGGGCACATACCTTGGTTGCAGTTTGTCCCGGCCCTGGATGGGTTGTGCAGGTGGCAACCACTCAGTGTGTCCCTTCCATGTCCATGTTTCTCTCTCTCTTTCTCTCCCTCTCTCTCCCTCCCACTGTATCTGAACAAAAAATGGAAGTGTCCTCGGGCAAGGATAAAAAAAATAATAATAATAATCCTCAGATTATAATGAGAAGCTAATTTCTCCTGACTTTCCCTACTAAATTGTTCTACACTAAATCCTAAATTATGATCTAAGGAAAGAGCTTTAAACTTGCAGCAATTTAGCACATTGTCTTTTCCTTCTCCATAACTCTCTACCACCTGGAAAAGCCACAATAAACATGTTTGTTGAAAGTTCTGAAATGACCTGAAAAAATGTATTAAAAAAGTATTACATGCTCATTTTAACTGCCAAATTTTAAAATATATGAAATAAATGTCTATTCCCTGAAAACAACTACTCTTCAGAGGTATTCTTCCATTCTTTTTTCTCTGTATATTCAAACATTACACAAATACACACTTTTTGTTTTTTTATTTTGTTGTTAAACATCCCAAGAGGTAAACAAAGGAAGGAAGCTTTAATACTCAGCCATAAGATCACAAAGTAATAATAGACTTCAAAAATCTATTTTAAATCTGAAATTGCAAAGGTCTCAACCTCTAAATGTTGTATCAACAGGCCACAAGAAAAAAACTGTAATCTAATTTTTCCTTGTCTTGCAATTAAGAGGTGCTAAAGTAACACATGCTAAGAGCTTTTTTTAACAATTAAAAGGGAAAAAAAAAGAAAATACCCTCATTTCTGATTACCCACCAAATACTGTTCGGGCCAGATTCCCAGTATATATCAGTCTTCCATCTTCTGATTTTTCAACTTGCGTATGTAAGCATTGAACACATCTTTCCCAACAAACAGGTATCTATTGAAACAGAGAGCTTTATAAGTATGTACATAGTAAATTGCATTTAGACTAACTTTTAAATTTAAAACAAATTTTTCTAAGATAATAAGAGCCCTGGCTGTCTTGCTCAGTGGTTAGAGTGTCAGCCCATGGACTGAAGAGCCTCTGGTTCAATTCTGGTCAAGGGCACGTAACTTGCTTTCAGTTTGGTCCCCAATCCAACTAGTCAGGTCGTGCAGGAGGGAATCAATCATGAGTCAGGATTAAAAATATATATATATTATGGCACTGGCCGGTTTGGTTCAGCAGTTAGAGCGTCGCCCCATGGACGAGAGAGGCCCGGGTTCAGTTCCCGCTAAGGACATGTACCTCGGTTGCAGTTTGTCCCTGGCCCTGGTTGGGGTCGTGTGGGGGCAGCCAGTCGGTGTGTCTCTCACACATGGATGTTTCTCTCTCTCTTCCTCCTTCTCTCCCTCCCACTCTGTATCTCAAGATAAAATACAAAAATGTCCTCGGGTGAGGATAAAAAAAAAAGGATTATGAAGAGAGAACTTGTCACATAAGATGATTTAAGGAATTCTCCCAAATAATCTATAGAGCTAAAGAAATCAAACTGGTTGCCTGGCCCATGTGGTTCACAGGTTGAACATGCACCAAGAGGTTGCTGGTTCAATTCCTGGTCAGGGCACATGCCCAGATTGTGGGCCCAATCCCCAGTGGGGGGCATGTCGGAGGTGGCCAATCGATGTTCTCTCTCATTGATGTTTCTATCTCTCTCTCCCTCTCCCTTCCTCTCTCTCTAAAATCAATAAAGAAAAAAAATAAAAACAACAAGAAATCAAACTGGCTAACAGAATGACTTTCCTTAATTTTAGTTATAACTAGACACATGTTGAGTTTCAGTTTGAAGACCTAGGTTTGCATCCCAGCTCCAAGCTTTTGAAATAGTGTGACCTTAAAAAAGTTTACTGGAATTGCTTCTTCTATTCCACTGTTAATGAGAACATCACACTTGTTTGATTATCAAAGATTTACATGCATTTGCTCTTCAAAAACTAAAATTAATTGTAATAATGTAAATTATTTTTTTATTTTTTTAATTCTCACCTGAGAATATTTTTACATTTACCTTCAGATAGAGTGGGAGGGAGGGAGAGAGAGAAACACAGATGTGAGAGACACATCACTGGTTGCCAACCACAGGACCCATCCGAGGTATGTGCCTTTGGCAGGAATGGAACCTGGGACTCTGGTCGCAAGCCCACGCGCTAACCGCTGAGCTGAACCGGCCAGGGCAGTAATGTAAATTATTAAGTTAATGTGATTATTAAAAATTATTTTAAATAAACTAATTTTAATAATGTAAGTAAAACACTGAAAAATCAGATTGTGTAAAGTTCAGACTGTTTTTAATACTTCTAAAATACTTACACTATAGCTAGTACCACACACACACACACAAAAGTCTTCCTTCGGGCCTGTATCCATCCCCTTGCATCCCTACTTGAAACCTCCCATCAAATTTCACAGGAACAAAAGTCCCCCGAGCATCTGAAAATGAATTTCACAAGACACACACTTTAAAAGGCATGCTCTGCTTTACTATAGATTCCAATTCCCATGTTAGACATTTCCTCCAAGTTTCAACCATGTCTGCTAATCCTGATATTTCATAGGTCAGGATTAGAAGACAATTAACTCAGATTAAAATGAGAGGATTAATTTCTCCGTCCTTTTTCCAGGGAGCAAACGAACTCCTAAAAAACAGAACCATCTAATAAAAAATAGAACTCAAAGTCAGGTTATCCAAATTCGTAATTCGGAATCCAGGTGGTACATGTACTTTTTGTTGCAAATTAACCTTTCCGAGCTTCTGCAAAAGGGCAGGAGAGAAAATAAATCTCCACAAACCCGTTGGATTTGCAACCGCCTGTAAAGTGCTTGGAACTACCCAGGGAATAACCAATTTACACCGAATGCTCCTATACTCGCTCCTAGACCACGGGCTGTTCCCGAGGCGACACCTGCTACTCCCACGGACCCCGCAGAAGGCTCCTTCTGCACTGGAGCCAAGGGCGTCCCTAAACTGCCGGAGAGCCGAGGCTCCCCGGATAGGGCGCTACGCTCACTTCCCACCCTTACACCGGCCCTCCAGCCCTCCGACGGCCGACCTGCGCTGGCACGGGACGCCGGGAAGGCGGCGCGACTCCCCGCAGCACCGAGCTCCCGCCGCCGCCCGGCCTCGAAGAGCTGCTGCCGGAGGCCGCCCGCGAGACGGCCGCCCCGGGGCCTCGGAGCGCGGTGGCCGCCCACAGCGCCGCCCTCTTTCCGCAGAGCCGCGGTCCGGCCGCCCACCGGCCGCCCACCGCCAGCAGCAGCATTCCGCACGTGAGAAGACGCAGGGGACAGCGCTGCGGCCGCCGCCGAGAGCCCTGAACGCCGGCTCCTAACCCGATCGCAGCCCCACTGGTCGCGCACGCCCCGTGCCCTAGAGCCTCACCCGGCTGGATTGGCCGCCGAACGTGCGCGGAATATGCGGCCCGCCGGCAACCTTTACCCGGTCTCGCGCGTTCCCGTCCGCGGAGCTCTGAAACCGCGACACCGGCCCCCCGCTGCCGCAGCCCGCAGACGCCCAGCCTGCACCCCGGGCTTCCCTTCCCGGAGTGTGGCGCCCCGCGTGCCTGTGTGGAAGGACTGAGGGGAGAGCCGTGAACGAAGGACAAAGCCTGGAAGCCGGGGTTAAATCTTTCATTCTTGTGGGCGTCATTTTCTAGGCCCCCCAAAAAACGATCTTCTTTGCGGAAAATGATTTTAGCCTGTTGACACTGAAGAATAATACTTTATATGATTTGAACGAAAATGAATGGTACTTTAATGCAGCCAGTGGGCTGATAGAAAATAAATGGAACTAGTTCATAGAATGCTGATACTTGTTAAATTTGTCTTGGGGAATCATTCACATTCATTTAAACACTCCTTCACTACTTGTTAAAGTGGTTAAGCATCTATTGTCAGAACTAAGTTCAAAGCAGAGGATACAAAGATACTGGATATAATGGGGAATCCACAATGCTCACATAGTGGAGGAAACACCTATACATAAGCTAAAATATCATGCTGTAATATAATTAAAATAGACTAATTCACAAGAAGCTACAGAACCCGTAAAACATCATGATTAATTTGGCCTCAGACTAAAGGCTTCAAGTTCAGCTTAGTCTTGAAGGATGAGCATCCAACTAGTAAAAGCACACTTTTGTTTACTATTTGAGAACTGTTTTTGACTCAACATGTTATTTGCATAAGAGCAAAACAAACTAATAGTCCAAAATAATATCACCTTGGAAACTCCAAATCCTGTCTACTTTTTTCTGGGTACCCAGAAGGATAAAGTTATACTACTTCTTCATGAATAACTTCATTCTGAAAGTTCCACTTACATTTTAAAAACACTTCTAAAAACATGAATTATCTCCAGCTGGTGTGGCCCAGTCAGGCTACATGCCCAGGTTGTGGGCCAAATGGGGGGGCGGTGCATGCAGAAGGTGGCCAATCGATGTTCTCTCTCATGGATGTTTCTATCTTTCACTCCCTCTCCCTTCTTCTCTCTCTAAAATCAATAAAAAAAAATTTTTTTAAGTAAAATGCCAAATTTATTTTTTAAATCAATTATCCATTATTTTACTGATACATATTTAACTTTTTCTGTTCATATAGTTATTTTTAATATTGTTAAAAAGATAAACAGGCATATTAAGAATTTTTAGTTTATTTAAGCAAAATGTATACAAATCAGGCAGTGCCAAACTGGAAATGATTAGGAGGGTTCAACTGACTGGAGCTAAGGGCAAAGTTTTCACAAGATGCGCAGGCAAAGCAAAGAAATTATTTGATTGGCTATAATTTAAGCAGTTACATTACTTGGGAAAACCTAGTTGGCTATTTGTGATTCATTCTTCTTCTTATCCTTGAGGCATTTACAAGAATTGACTCGAGCTTAGATTTTGGTTTCCTTATAGGCTACCAAGTTTCAGAGTAATCTCAGTCTAATGGCCTTATTTGATTACTTCAATAATATGCTGAGAAAACCTGTATGTTTATCTTCTGTTAAGCTTAGTTTTTTCCTACAGATACAATCAGTAAGTAAAACATTTGGTCTACTTCTTAAGCTTTCTTAAATAGCTAAAATGAGATCATGTTCTGAAAACTGTGCTATAAATTATAGGAAATTGTTACGCATTGTTAGATTTCCCAAGTCTAGCAATTTGGAGACATTTTTTTAATGTAAACTACTTGAATGGGATTTCAGAGTGATACTAACTAAGGCTGTTTTAAAAAGAAACTTTGATTCCTTGTTAATATAATCTGAGAGGTTCTCTTTAAAAATGGAGGCTGATGAAAAAATTAAAACTGGTTATCACTTATAAACTGTATGGCCATCATTATTATATATAATTTTTTATTTTTAGCTATCTTTCCTCTCCATTCACCAACCTTCTTTCCATCCATAAGGTGAGACTAAGAGCAGAATGGCATGATGGAAAAAAAAGGAAAAGAAAAATTTTGGTAAAGCTAGTATATTGATAAGAACTCTAAATACTTTTTTATACACTACAGATTTAAAACATATACTGGGATAATCTTTCTAGAAAATAATTTGTCAACAAATTATCAAGATCTTTTAAAATGGTCATATTCTAAAGAAATAATCAGAAACATGGTCAAAGATCTCTCAAAGATACTGAACACAGCATTATTTAAAATGATTTTAAAATGGAAATAAGGTGAATAGCCAACACTAAGAAATACTTAAGTGAATCATGGTACATTTAGGCAATGTAATTCTATACAAACATTTAAAACAATGCTTGTGGAGATTTTGGTTACAGAGCTTTTGAGATTTGGGTTTTTGAGATTTGTTGAGTTGCAAAGTAAATAATATACAGAACCATATATATACAGTGTGTTACATGCCATTGGGCAGTTCGGACTCCTGGCGATCCCATGAAAGGGACATCTACAAGGTCCTATCCTCAACAGCCCTGCTCAGCTTCTGTAGACACAACCTATGGCTTCTTTTATGGAATCAACCCATCTCATATTTGGTCTTCCTCTTTTCCTGCTGCCTTCTATTTTTCCCAGCATTATTTACAGTGATACCTCGGTTCTCGAACGCCTTGACTTTCGACCAAACAGGTATTCGACCAGGAGATTCGAGAAACTTTTGTCTTGGAATCCGAACAAATATTTGGAACTCGAACTTCCGAGATGAGCCGAGTTGAGCCGAATGGCGTTCATTCGGCCCAGCGCGCCTTGCTTGCGTCATCAGTGTGAGTGCAGAGAGTCACGCTTTGTGGAGAGAGTCACGCTTTACACTGAATTTAACCCTTAGACATACTGTACACTTTTATTTCTTGTTGAGACTTATGTTTTTCTACATATTATATACAAATTAGGCCAGTAAATAGGCATTTTCTGGGGCTTGGAACGAATTAATCCAGTTTCCATTATTTCCTATTGGGTTTCATTGCTTCGGTTCTCGAACAATTTGGTTCTCGACCGTCCTCCTGGAACGAATTATGTTCGAGAACCGAGGTATCACTGTACTCCATTGTGTATATGTACCACTACTTTTTTATCCATTCATCCACTGATGGACACTTGGGCTGTTTCCAGATCTTAGCTATTGTAAATAGTACTGCTACAAACATGGGGGTACATATATTCTTTCTGATTGGTGTTTCAGGCTTCTTAGGGTATATTCCTAGAAGTGGGATCACTGGGTCAAATGGAAGTTCAATTTTTAATTTTTTGAGGTAACACCATATTGTTTTCCATAGTGGCTTCAGCAGTCTGCATTCTCACCAGCAGTGTACTAGAGTCCCCTTTTCTCCACACCCTCGCCACACTTGTTTGATGATTTGTTGATGGCGGCCATTCTGACAGGTGTAAGGTGATACCTCATAGTTGTTTTAATTTGCATCTCTCTGATGGTTAGTGATGTTGAACATTTCTTCATATGTCTCTTGGCCATTTGTATGTCCTGTTTGGAGAGGTGTCTATTCAGCTCCTCTGCCCATTTTTTAATTGGGTTCTTTGTCTTCCTTTTGTTGAGTTGTATGAGTACTCTATATATTTTGGAAATTAACCCCTTATCTGATGTATAATTGGCAATGATGTTCTCCCATACAGTGCATTGCCTTTCCATTTTGACGGTTGTTTCTTTTGCTGTGCAGAAGCTTTTCAGTTTGATGTAGTCCCAGGTGTACATTTTTTTCTTTGTTTCTGTTGCCTTGGGTGATGTATCAGTGAAAATTCTGCTGCGTATGATGTCCAGAATTTTGTTGCCTACATTTTCTTCTAGAATTTTTATGGATTCACATTTAAGTTTTTTATCCATTTGGAGTTTATTTTTGTGTATGGTGTAAGTTGATGGTCTAGTTTCATTTGTTTGCATGTAGCTGTCCAATTTTCCCAACACCATTTATTAAAGAGGCTGTCTTTACTCCACTGTATGCTCTTGCCACTTTTGTCAAATATTAATTGAGCATATTGCCTTGGGTCCATTTCTGGGTTCTCTGTTCTGTTCCACTGGTCTATATGCCTGATCTTCTGCAAGTACCAGGTTGTTTTGATTACAGTGGCTTTGTAGTATAACCTGATATCTGGTATTGTGATCCCACCTACTTTGTCCTTCTTTTTCAAGATTGCTGCGGCTATTCGGGGTCTTTTTTGGTTGCATATGAACTTTTGAAGTATTTGTTCTAGTTCTGTGAAATATGCCATTGGTATTTTGATGGGTATTGCATTGAATCTATAAATTGCTTTGGGTAATATGGACATTTTAATGATGTCAATTCTTCCAATCCATGAACAAAGTATGTGCTTCCACTTTTTTATATCTTCCTCTATTTCTTTTTTCAATGTCCAGTAGTTTTCTGCAAATAGGTCCTTTACTTCTTTGGTTAAGTTTATTCCTAGGTATCTTAATTTTTTGTCATGATGGTAAATGGGATTGTTTTTGCAGTTTCTCTTTCTGTGAGTTCATCATTGGTGTATAAGAATGTCG